GTCGTCTTCGTACCCGGAGACAGGGTGTGGTTGTATAATCCCAGGAAGACCAAAGGGAAGTCTCCTAAGTTGTCTTCTCCATGGGAAGGCCCATATGACATAGTGGATCGTCTCCCAGACGTGACTTTCCGAATAAAATGTGTTCGGCGAGGTAAGCTATTGGTGGTGCATGCCAACAGGCTTTGGCGTTATCATGGTCCAGACATTTCAGTTGGGACGAAGTGAACAGCGGAACAAAATATGCCACTGAAAACGTGTCACCTGGAAAGGCCACTGTCGAAGAAGAAACTACTTGGTTTTGAGAAGGGAAACAGTGAAGCCCTTCATGAAGTTACTACCACTGATGTGACTATTATCAATAATAGGACAATTCCTGATAGAACAGATGAACCTCACGTGAAGCAAAAGCCAGTATGGAAAAAGATACGTCTCGTAAAATTAAGATACTTTGTTGAATTTTAATTTTGTGTTTGTAAATCATGTACATTTAATTAAGTTATTGTTAATTATCCATTGGTTTAACTTAAGTGGCTATTGTTCGGGACAAATAATACTAAGGAAAGGGGAGTGTTACGACAGCGGAAGTCACGTGACTCTGGTAACATGTAATGAGTATCTCGAACGTTCCTGAAGGTTCGAGTGTTTGCCAGATGCCCTCTATTATGTATATGTAAAACCGGTGAGAAATGACGGCATAGATGATTGAATTGCAGATAGACAGAGATAGAGACAGATAATCGAGTCAAGTGAGCGCTAGTGACCGTAAGTAAAGTGCGGGAATCGTTGTGAATTATAGCATGTGTTTAAGTAAAGTGACTGTGGAAATTAAGTGTATGGCAAAGTTGTATTGAGAAAGAATAAACTAGTTTTATTTAAGAAAGGCCTTGTATCGTTAAAGTTCCTCGGGAAGAAGTTGTACCGGGAAATTAACAAACGACTAGAGACGTAACAATATTCTATTCTTTCTGTCATCTTCGTTAACAAATTGATTAAATTGTTTGATATTTAGTATTTTTATTATGAGGATTAATTTGAATTATTAGCTTAATATTTGCAGTTAAGACTAACGTAAATTTTCTGGAATATGCGAGAATATTTCTAACAGTGGGAATATACAATCAACGAATCAACACTTCTTAATCATTATAAAGAAGACCGGTATATTAATTTAGCTATATTCATTCACATGTTAATTTTCAGTTCCGATATATGTAGGTAGCCTGCTTTGGTTGGAAGCTAATGTTTGTTTTAGAGCAAAGCTGCACAAAAGGTTATGTGCGCTCTGTTCATCACAGTGAATTGACCCAATGATTTTAACGTTGTAAGTTAATTAGGGGGTTAAAACTTTAATGATGATAACTTTTCTTAATGCACCTTATGTTAAGTTTAATTTGATAAATGCTTATGAGTATAATCAATATTCTTATCAATACATCTTTAACTCGTCACATGGCAATTGAAAACATCTATTATTATAGTAATTTAAAGCGTTACAAAATCCACGTACTTTCAAAAATACTTTTTGTTCTTGTTAATTACAGAGATAGAAAACATGGCACCTATATATCTGGTTCATTGTGAATTTCTAACCATTGGACAGTTCAATACATAGACTTATAACTGGAGGATCTGCCTCATCTTATCCAAAGAATATTCTTGCACAAAGACGAGAAGTCCATATCCTTGGGCACATCAATTTCAAATACAATTATCTACAGAGGTTGAGTTCGTTAAATTAAAACAATTTTGGAGCCTCACAACTTCGTTACAATCCATGTTGCTAGGTCTGGTCATGCTCTGTCTGATGATATTGCAAAGGCTCTGTTGTAGGCTGTGATATCAAATACATATTCGTCCTCTCTGCTGTCTTTCCATAAGCCATCTATTAGGTCGTCAAGAAATTAAAGTCGCTTATTTTAGATGAAAAAACCCGAGCAATTTATGTATCAAAACAAAACATTTATTAAATGTTAGAGTCTCCATTCTTAT